GTGTATTTCTCTGACCCACGAAGGCATCTGATTGGTCAAGCCTTATATGGCTTCTATCTGGATTAACAGAGGCAATGTAAACACTAGGATCCTATGAAGCACTAAACCACAGATTTTCTAAGCCCAAAATGGTGCTGTAACCAGGGCGGACATGTTGCTAAGACAGTTGCTAAGGTGTAAGCTGGAGTTTCCCTGTGAAGGCATCTGATTGATCAAGTCAAGATATATTATAAATAAAATTTATTATTGTTATTATTATGATCTGAGTTCATAACTGTATTTTTAAGACCAAAGTGGAGAGTGGGACACAAATAGTTACTGAGCTAGAGGATTTTACTTTTCAGCGTAAAGCAATAGGAACCGGAGCAAAACTTCATCCATGAGCACTTCCCTACTGGGCTTCATCGAGCTAGCGGATTAGCATTGTCCATCTGTACACAGTCTATGTTTGAAGAGAGAGGAACGAGTAACATGGATGTTATTACACAATTATTTCTCCATGGTTCCGAGGATACTCTACAGCTTTAAAGGGCCAGTTCTAATCCATTTCTCTTGTCTTTTTAAACACATAATAAAGTCTTCAAGTCATCTCTCACGGTCGTTAAAGAAGAATGACTTTGTCCTGTTGAATACATGCACACAGCAGCAGTTTGCATTTGCCCTTTTAGCTGAGCTCCTCCGTGAAGCTGACAGGATGCAGGCCCATAGCATCATTACACTAGAAGAAACACAGGCATCAATAGGCGATCGATGGCGCGTATGGAGCTGGGGCGCGCCGGTCGATACGCGCTACCACGAGAACCGCTCAAGCGTGTGTGAAAGATTTCTGCAGCGTAGAGGAGAGTGGAGGGGGCGGGACCAGGGGAGCTAGCCACAAGGAGTATGACTGTGGACTTTCACCTGCATGCATAAACGTAAGGTAAGCTGCAAATGTACCTGTGAGTCCAGAGACTGCAAGATGTCTGCTCGATCAATAACGAAATATAAATACATTAAAATATACGAGTTTCATATTAAAAGAGTGCAGCGTAAGAGAATTAGGGCTAAAGCTTGTATTGAAATGAAGGTTGAAAGTCTAGTAGAAAATAGAAATAGTTATCAACTATCATCAGCTAAATTCAACATAGTTTAACCAGAGTCTCAGCAGGAGGCCAGTCCCTGTGCTCTTCAGAGTCCCAGCAGGAGGCCAGTCCCTGTGCTCTTCAGAGTCCCAGCAGGAGGCCAGTCCCTGTGCTCCTCAGAGTCCCAGCAGGAGGCCAGTCCCTGTGCTCCTCAGAGTCCAAGCAGGAGGCCAGTTCCTGTGCTCCTCAGAGTCCAAGCAGGAGGCCAGTCCCTGTGCTCCTCAGAGTCCAAGCAGGAGGCCAGTCCCTGTGCTCCTCAGAGTCCAAGCAGGAAGCCAGTCCCTGTGCTCCTCAAAGTTCGAGTTGGTTCATATAACAGTACTATCACAGTGATGTACTTTAGTACGAGGTCATGGAGAGACTTGGCAGGTGTCGAGGGTGACAGCGGTTGCCTCCAGAGATGAAGGTACTTAATGCACACTCAACTTTTAAAGTATACATATCTTGAAAATGTTCTCAAGCTGAATAAATTGTATTAATACTTGCATGCTAAAGCCAGATCTTGTCAGACCTTATTTTTAATAATTATAATTTCAAATGTGATGGAATAGTTACACCGCTTGCACTCGCACTTTGCTTTAGTTTCACTGCAATCCCCCTAATTCAACCTGTGCTCTGTAATTCCAATGCAACAGTAACAAAAGCACTTCAATGTTTCATTGAAAAGATCAAGGCTGTGTCGTCAAAAAAGGGATGGATGGATTATTTTTGTGCTATTGTGTAATTTCATACTGACATTTCCCATCACATTCATTTCACTGAGACTCGAGGCCACAGCAGTTGTTTGTAAACCACTCTGCCACTACTCACCACTGTTCCACACATCCTGTTACTGTAAGTGAAGTATCCACACGTCAGCAGTGATATAAGTTTGACATTCTGCTCTGTTGTAATCCATCGCTCTGTGATAAGCCCCTCCTGCTGCGGCCTGTGTCTATAAACTCTACAAACTGTAAAAGACGGCCTCGATCTGCACGTTCAGCTTAATTGGCGTTTGACAGACACTGAGTTCATCATTACGCAGCAGTAGTGAGAGCAGCAGGGGCCTCATTACGCTCCTCCACTTTTCTCCACGGAGCGAACGTCATCACGGCCCGGGCTGATTCAGGCCATAGACTGTATATTGATGGGTTACAACCACGTGACCAAAAGGGGGCGTGGCAAGGGCCCGTAGGACAGGAAGCTATTACATCCTATTAGTTTGGACGGGCATTGCAAAAAAACCACACAGAGGAGCTTCACGCAGCTTTCTTTCACTGTTATTTTAAGTAAAAAGTTCAATAGACCCACGTCCATGATGACAGTTCTGATCAATAAGAAAGATAGATAGATAAACTTTATTGATCCCCGTGGAAGAAATTCAGGTGTCCAGTAGCAGCAAAAACACATCCATCCAAACAAACAAAACAAAGAAATTTATCATTCTAAAAAGCTAGAGCAACAGAACTTCAGGTCACAGCAGCAGAGGTGGAGTAGGCAAGGCAAGGCAAGTTTATTTGTATAGCACAATTCATACACAAGGCAATTCAAAGTGCTGAACAAAATAAGAAAGCATTAAAATCATAAATGATCACAGAACATTAAAAAGAAAGCTAAAAATATCAAATCCCTGTTTTTCCACCCAGAGTAGCCTCTGAGTGGAGCAGGACAGGTCAAAAGATGGAGCAGCCTCTTGGTTCGGACCATTTTCTCTGCTCTAGTCCAAAGTAATAGCATTTTTCAGAAAGTTAGCATTCCTTCGGTGGATTTTCACCTGATCCGCTTGGTTCGGACCATGAATCCTCTCTGCTCTGGTCTGGACCAGTGTAAAACCATGAACACTGAACTGCAGCAACATCTCAGGCAGAAAAAACCAAGAAAAATAACAATTGTAAAGCACAAACAACTGTTTCAGAGACTCTTGTTGCCGTTTCCAGCGTGTGTCTGCGTGTGTTATGGTACCACATACAGTCTATGGGTACCACCCGCTTGTGAAAGCCAGATCCTGTCAGACCTCTGAAGCTAAACAGGGCACGGCCTGATTATTACTATGATGGGAGACCTCTGTGAACACCAGCCACAGTGGGGTGGTTGCAGCTGTAAAGTGCCGAACTGTCGTCGTGTCCTTTGCCAAGACTCTTCTCCCACATTGCCTAGAATGAGTCTGATGTGTGTGAGAGGTTGTTGGTGGTCGGAGGGGCTGATGACACAGATTGGTTGCCTCGCTTCTGTCAGTGTGCCCCAGGGCAGCTGTGGCCACAGAAGTAATTTAATATCACTGTGTATGAAGTGAATGAATAATGACATGTGAAGCCTTTTTCAGTGTCCAGAAAAGTGCTTTATAAAACCGATGCATTATTATTACATACTATATGTGTAGGTGTGTGTATGTCTACGTGTATGTGTGTAGGTATATGTATGTGTGTGTGTGCATGTCTATGTGTATGTGTGTGTGTATGCATGCGTGTGTGTGTATGCATGCGTGTGTATCTATGTGTACGTGTGTGTGCAGAAGCAGCAGCATCACAGGATATTTTTACCCCTACCTGGTCAGGCGGTGGGAGGCGGCCCGGCTCCTGTCCCTCTCTCTAATTGGCTGCTGCTGCGTTGATTCTCGGGGTCCCTCGGCATCACTGCGTCACATGCGTCAATCTAAGCAGCACCGACCTCTTCATGTGCAGTAAACACCATTCCCCATGAGAAAATTCATGAGGTATAATTCTAATCAACCCAACAGTAGTCCTTGATTTGAGAAACACATTTGCCTGTTACAACGAGGTGGTTAAGAATTCACAGCAGTAAAGAGAATTCCACCGATGAAAAAGTGCTGAAGAGCCTGGTTTCATACTTTTGATATATGGCCTGAGTTTCCAGTGAAAAATGTGTAATACTTGGGACCTGGACTGAAAATGCCATCTGTGAGAGGACTGCAGCGGTCACAGGATGTTGAGAGGAGATACTCAAGTCTTAAAGCCATTATACGAGCGCCGTAAAATCAGAGCCACGGGAACAGATTTACCACCGCGCCTCTAAAATATAACACCTACCACACCGGCTTCATCCCGAGACATGTTCAGGGACTACTGGTGAGTTTTCCAGGATGTGTAGGAACAAGCCAGGTCTTTAGATTGGAGGTTTGAGACAGACGGCCCTGACAGTTAAAGGGGACTGGTGTTGTGCTTATGCTCTGGGTTTCTGTGAAGATAAAGCCGGCCTCTTTCATCGGAGCCTGTGGATCGGTCTCCCACGTCCCGGGCTCGTGGGCTGCACTCGCTTCCCAATCTGGAAGCCTATTTGTACATACAAGACTGCATGTACAAACTCAGTCCTGGATCTAGAGCCTCTGTCCTGGACCTGCAACTTCAGTCCTGGATCCACAGCCCAAGTCCTGGGTCTACAGCCTCAGTCCTGGATCTACAGCCTCAGTCCTAGTTCTACAGCCTTAGTCCTGGATCTGCAACTTCAGTCCTGGATCTACTGTCTCAATCCTGGAACTACAACTTCAGTCCTAGATCAGCCTTGGTTCTGGATCTACAACATGTCCTTCCGTGGGAGTGGATCCCTCTTTTAACGTGGGCCTCCCCAAAGTTTCTCACAATTTTCCCACTGTCCCTTGCCTTGGCAGGACAGTGGTGTTCCAGAACATTTATGGCCATTATCAACATTTATAGACAGTAGTCGTCCCGCTTCCTATGGCCCAATGCCTCCGAGATGTTTTGCTATTATTGCATTTTCTGTGTTTTGAACTTTTTGACTCTTTGATCTCTGTATAACGTTCTCTGGGATGGCTGTGGTTGCGATTTAGGGCTATACAAAATAAAAATCGAATAGAATTTAAAGTATATTTTGTCTGTGACCAGATTCGTCCTTTAAGAGATCACCAGGACTCAGAACCATGTGATGCAGCTGTGCGTTAGCGGTCAGCACACCTCACACCTGCCCCGCCGCTGCCGCTGTAGAAGGCGTAATCAGTCACCACCAGCACTGACCGCTTCTGCATGCTCTGAAATTAATGATCCACTGTGGAGCGGTGCACACGCCACATTATTTACCGCTCACTCGGCTGAAGCCAACGCGGCCTTTCTCTTCATTAGGACAGAGGCGTGTTCGGATGTGTCCAGGAGGCCGCCATCAGAGAAGGACCCTCCAGACTCTCCCAGCCCAGACACCACCGGGTCATTAAGACAAAAACTGTGAAATACAAAGAAAGGTCTGCACTTTTCCTCGAGACACAACAACTTTTCATACCTGATTCAGACAACACACGTTCATGTCTCTATATGCAACAGCATGTACGGCTGTTTAGGGCAAAAGTTTGTGAGTAATGACACATATCCAGGTCTGGTTCTGTTCACAGGGCCCGGAAGTGTCAAGTAATAACAACAAAAGATGTACAGCAATTATTGAACCGGATGTTTTCCAATTAAATACAAAAATAGAACTCCAAATGCCTGGTGTCATTAGATAATTTCAAGAAAGTGGACTGAGTAATGTTGGCTTTTGTAGGTTTTTTCCAGAGCAATGGATTCATTTAGAATAGTTTTCATTTAATTTGAATGAATGAATGATAAGCATTGGACTAAGTGTAATGCATTTTACCATATATATTTTGTTTTTGACCTCCTTGTGACCACAGAGCCCTATTCTGCTGCTTCCCATAGAGCAGGGGTCCCCAAACTAGTAGTTAATAATGAAAAAAGTTCATAAGAAACTTTTTATAGCAAAAGTCCAACTTTATTATCAAATACACACATGAGTGTGTTCACAGTAAAGTGTCAATTAAAGTATCTGGACTTTAAAAGGTTTTAACACATTGAAGAGATAGTGTGGATGAAATCAAAAGGAAAGATTCACAAAAGAAAATAAAATGTCATCAGTCTGAAAAGGCGGCAGATGAAATCCCACAAGATTTAACACAACATCAGTATTTCACTTGATTTAAAAAGGAATCGTTAAAAAAAAAAAAGACCCTTGAAAAATGTGTAACGGACGTGATGGTTTCTGTACATTTTTCTCTAACAATTAAACTTGAGGAAAAAAAAATCTGGTCTGGTTTTACATTTAATTGGTTTATTATATGAAACTATTTTTACTTTGTTTCTACTCTGTGTAAAAAAAACGTTTGAATCTCTGAGTCAAATGTGGACATCTAAAATACGTAACAAACTTCTGCAAAGCTCATTCCGTCGAATCATCACGTCCGTTACATAAAATAAACAATGGCGCTTTAGGAAACTTGTCTAAAGTATAAAACAGAGGTATTTGGATACATGAAAAGCATAATATATCTTCTGATTATTAAAATCACATTTTTGGCCTTTTGTCACACCTTTATATATGAAAATACTCTGGAATTGTTCAGGGGGCCGGAGCAAATGTAGAGGTGGGCCGTAGTTTGGGGACCACGGCTACAGAGCCTCCTCTGGTTCTGTCCACTATGATGCACTTTTCAAATTCCTCTAACTCTGTGATACAGTATGTGTTTTAATTTGTTAAGAAGGGGTTTGGACACACCTCTATCAGCTTTTAATCTCCGGAGCTCAAAGCAACTTCTCCTGCTTCTCGTGTGTTTATGTGAACAGCAGAGACACAAGGAAGTGCAGGGATGTACACAGGATGTGGTTTTATGTGATGATGGCTGCTGACCGAGTTTCAGGACCCATTATTTTGACTTTAAAATGTTTGCTTATTGTCAAAAGACAATGGATTGTAAAAGAGTGATTTTAATAAAGTCTAATTAACAGTGTGACAAACACTTGTCATTAAATAACGTTGGTCTATCGTCTAATCCATCAGCCGTGGGTTAAGATTTACATTACAACATGGAAACCTACGGCTTGTATTCAAGTGTGTCCTATATGTGGACAAAATGTACTTTGCAAATGTAGCTCGAGCAGCTTACATACAGGTGCGCGTAATAGTCCAGCAAGTACTTGTAAACACATATAAACAAACACACGTACACACACACAAGACACATGTCGTGGGCAAGTGCTGCGAGGATTTGGCTATAAGCCCCACTACTGTATGAGAGTTTGTTTGGATTTTTTGTGTCTGTCCCTACTCAAATAAACCAAATGATAATAAATATTATGCACACACACACACACAATACAAAACACATTTAAACACACACACAAGCACAAACACACAGACACAGGCGCTCCCACACACCCAGAGACAGACAGCCACACACAACACAAAAACCATATTTTCACAGTAATACTTAAAAACACACATACGCACAGACAGACTCTGACAGGCCTCTGACTATGTCCTCAGTAACACATCCACAATGAGGAGCGAGGCCACGGTCACACAAACACCATGACTAACCACGAGACGCAAACACTCCATGTTTATTATTCCCATCGAGCCTCGGATTCACGTGGCCTCAGCCTTTTATTCACCGAGCGCCCAGGTTCCAGCTATTTGAAATGCTAAATATTCACGATCGAGAATGTCAGGAGGGAACGACGGCAGCCACATCAGGAGAAGGAGTCTGTTCTCCGGAAGAATAGAGTGAAACAAGTTTATTCCGGATGTTTTTGAGGAGGCTGTAAACTTATGAACGCACTGAAGCATCTCAGAGAACTGTGAGGAACTGTACGCAACAACAGAAGTGTGAAATCAAAACTGCAAACACAAGAAAATGAATACAAAAAGCAAGTGACTGTTGTGTTGTGACCAGAGACTCTATATATGCTAACACAGACCGTATACAAGTAGACAATGCTAACATAGACTGTGTATAAAAATAGACAACGCTAACGTAGGGACAACAGTAGCTCAGTTTGTAGAGCATTGGCCTTTGAGCCAGAGGGTCGTGGGTTCGAAGCCCGACTTTCACTATCGACACCCACTGTTTTGCTGTTGTTGTGTCTTTGTCAAGACACTTAACCTCTGGGAACACCAGCCACAGTGGGGCGGCTGCGGCTGTAAAGTGCCAAACTGCCGTTGTGTCCTTAGGCAAGACACTTCACCCCCATTGCCTAGAATAAGTCTAGTGTGTGTGTTGGTCAGAGGGGCTGATGGCACAGACTGGTTGCCTCGCTTCTGTCAGTGTGCCCCAGGGCAGCTGTGGCTACAGTAGTAGTTTATTACCACCGTGTATGGAGTGAAAGAATAATGACATGTAAAGACAATGCTAACTTTGAGTGTCCAGTATATAAATAGACCATGCTAGGCAGAGTGTCCTGCTTCTCCAGGCAAAAATGTTGAGAAATCCATCCAGGTTGAGGAGAGACACCAGCGGAGCTCGAGGGTTTCACCAGAAACCAGAAGGCTGTTTGTGGAGCTAGCGCTAAGGACGAAGCAGAATGAGTTCCCACGAACAGCACAAGGCAGAAAAAAATTTAAAAGCTTAAAAAGTGACAAACCGTGACATGACAAAGATCACAGCAGTCAGAAGTACAAGGCAGAACCGAAAAGTCATGGAGGTGGTTTGACCAACAGGGGACTAACATTTACGGACATCGGCTAACACCGGCTAACATGCTAACAACCAGCTAACATGCAAGAAACCAGGAGAAAGCCTCAACATCTGCCTGGTGAGGTGTCCGGTCTTCAATCAAATGCAAACGGATCTGCCGTGGATACTTAACAGGTGTCTGTGGTTTCTAAATCAGCTAAAAGTGGTGTGCTGGGGTGTTTGTAGTGCGCAATTCTATATACTTTTTTACTAAACGCAGTCAGAGGAGGAATCATGGTTCGATAAAGACAGATGTGTTTCATCTGCTGAACATCCACTGGTTGAAACACGAGTTATTTTCGTAGTTAGAGATGGGAAGGCATGCATTTTCGGAATCATAAATGATGGATCGGCGGGACGGGAGATTGGTTACGGGTATCGACTCCGCCGGGGTAGAACCAGGGCCAAAACCAGTGCATAAAAAGTACCGGGGGAGCGTTTTTTGACGGCGAGCCGGGAGAAGACGCCCGCCAAACCGAAAGAGTCGAGTCCAGCCCTTAAAGTACTGTTACGAGGCCAGATCTGTCATTATCATGTTGATGACATTTACAATACAGATCAGTGTCTGAGCAAGAGCACACCTCTCTCTGCTCAGACAGATTGGCATGTGTGTGCGCGTGGCTGCGTCGTGTGCGTTACAGTACGTGCGCGTGTGCGTGCGTGTGTAGAGGTTCGGTGATGAAGTTAATGGAGTGCACACGTGTATGATGGGGCGCTTGCGGGTATCAGGACTGAGGCTGTAGACCCAGGACTGAGGCTGTAGATCAGGACTGAGGCTGTAGACCCAGGACTGAGGCTGTAGATCCAGGACTGAGGCTGTAGACCAGGGGTGGCCAACCAGTCAGAGACTAAGAGCCATTTTTTTTACTGTGTTACAGCAAAGAGCCACATCATACAAGTGTGCACTACATAAACATCACCCCAACCCTTACACACGCACGCACACGCGCACGTACTGTACGCACACGAGCAGACACGCGCACACACATGCAATCTGTCTGAGCAGAGAGAGGTGTGCTCTGCTCAGACAGATGTATTGTAAATGTCATCAACATGATAATGACAGAAATGGACTCGTACAGTACTAAAGGGCTGGACTCGACTCTTTCCGGTTTGCGGGCGCTTCTACCGCTCGCTTCAACCGCTCCCCGGTACTTTTTATGAATGGTTTGGCCCTGGTTCTAACCCGGCGAGTCGATACCAGAACAATCTCACGTCAGCGAACATCAATTATGATTCCGAAATGAATGCTTTCAATCTCTAACTAAGAAAAAAAATCGAGTTTCAACCCAGTGTTCAGCAGAAACACAACTGTCTTTATCGAACCATGATTCACTCTGACTGCGTTTAGTAAAAGATATAGATTTGACACAAAACACCAGCACCACTTTAGCTGATTTAGAACCACAGACACATGTTAAGTATAAGACCAGATACGTTTGCATTTGATTGAAGACAGACACTCACCAGGCAGAGTTGAGGCTTATCTCCTGGTTTTAGCATGTTAGCTGGTTTTAGCATGTTAGCCGGTGTTAGCCGATGTCCGTAAATGTAATCCATTTGGTCAAACCACCTCCAGACTTTTCGGTTCTGCCTGTACTTCTGCTGCTGTGATCTTTCATGTCACGGTTGTCACTTTTAAGCTTTTAAATTTTTTTCTGCATTGTGATGTTCGTGGGAATCATTCTGCTTCGTCCTTAGCGCTAGCTCCACAAACACCTTCTGGTTTCTGGTGAAACCATCGAGCTCACGCTGGTGTCCTCTCCTCAAACTGGTTGATTTCAACATTTTTGCTGGAGAAGCAGAACCGGAGAAGCTCTGCCTAGCATGGTCTATTTATATACAGTCTACGTTAGCATTATCTATTTGTATACAGTCTATGTTAGCATTGTCTATTTGTACACGGTCTATGTTAATAATAATAATAATAATAATAATAACGTACTAGTTTTATATAGCGCTTTTCTGGACACTCAAAGACACTTTACATGTCATTATTCTTTCACTCCATACACGGTGGTAATAAACTACTACTGTAGCCACAGCTGCCCTGGGGCACACTGACAGAAGCGAGGCAACCAGTCTGTGCCATCAGCCCCTCTGACCAACACACACACTAGACTTATTCTAGGCAATGGGGGTGAAGTGTCTTGCCTAAGGACACAACGGCAGTTTGGCACTTTACAGCCGCAGCCGCCCCACTGTGGCTGGTGTTCCCAGAGGTTAAGTGTCTTGACAAAGACACAACAACAGCAAAACAGTGGGTGTCGATAGTGAAAGTCGGGCTCGAACCCACGACCCTCTGGCTCAAAGGCCAATGCTCTACAAACTGAGCTACTGTTGTCCCTACGTTAGCGTTGTCTATTTTTATACACAGTCTATGTTAGCATTGTCTACTTGTATACGGTCTGTGTTAGCATATATAGAGTCTCTGGTCACAACACAACAGTCACTTGCTTTTTGTATTCATTTTCTTGTGTTTGCAGTTTTGATTTCACACTTCTGTTGTTGCGTACAGTTCCTCACAGTTCTCTGAGATGCTTCAGTGCGTTCATAAGTTTACAGCCTCCTCAAAAACATCCGGGATAAAATTGTAACACTCTATTCTTCCGGAGAACAGACTCCTTCTCCCGATGTGGCTGCCGTCGTTCCCTCCTGACATTCTCGATCTTGTGAATATTTAGCATTTCAAATAGCTGGAACCTGGGCGCTCGGTGAATAAAAGGCTGAGGCCACGTGAATCCGAGGCTCGATGGGAATAATAAACATGGAGTGTTTGCGTCTCGTGGTTAGTCATGGTGTTTGTGTGACCGTGGCCTCGCTCCCGGCCTCATTGTGGATGTGTTACTGAGGACATAGTCAGAGGCCTGTCAGAGTCTGTCTGTGCGTATGTGTGTTTTTAAGTATTACTGTGAAAATATGGTTTTTGTGTTGTGTGTGGCTGTCTGTCTCTGGGTGTGTGGGAGCGCCTGTGTCTGTGTGTGTGGTTGTGCTTGTGTGTGTGTTTAAATGTGTGTGTGTGTGTGTGTGTATGTGCATAATATTTATTATCATTTGGTTTATTTGAGTAGGGACAGACACAAAAAATCCAAACAAACTCTCATACAGTAGTGGGGCTTATAGCCAAATCCTCGCAGCACTCGCCCACGACATGTGTTTTGTGTGTGTGTACGTGTGTTTGTTTATATGTGTTTACAAGTACTTGCTGGACTATCACGCGCACCTGTATGTAAGCTGCTCGAGCTACATTTGCAAAGTACATTTTGTCCACATATAGGACACACTTGAATACAAGCCGTAGGTTTGCATGTTGTAATGTAAATCTTAACCCACGGCTGATGGATTAGACGATAGACCAACGTTATTTAATGACAAGTGTTTGTCACACTGTTAATTAGACTTTATTAAAATCACTCTTTTACAATCCATTGTCTTTTGACAATAAGCAAACATTTTTAAGTCAAAATAATGGGTCCTGAAACTCGGTCAGCAGCCATCATCACATAAAACCACATCCTGTGTACATCCCTGCACTTCCTTGTGTCTCTGCTGTTCACATAAACACACGAGAAGCAGGAATGTTGCTTTGAGCTCCGGAGATTAAAAGCTGATATAGGTGTGTCCAAACCCCTTCTTAACAAATTAAAACACATACTGTATCACAGAGTTAGAGGAATTTGAAAAGTGCATCATAGTGGACAGAACCAGAGGAGGCTCTGTAAACGTGGTCCCCAAACTACGGCCCACCTCTACATTTGCTCCGGCCCCCTGAACAATTCCAGAGTATTTTCATATATAAAAGTGTGACAAAAGGCCAAAAATGTGATTTTAATAATCAGAAGATATATTATGCTTTTCATGTATCCAAATACCTCTGTTTTATACTTTAGACAAGTTTCCTAAAGCGCCATTGTTTATTTTATGTAAAGGACGTGATGATTCGACGGAATGAGCTGCGGAAGTATTTTAGATGTCCACATTTGATTCAAACATTTTTTTTACACAGAGTAGAAACAAAGTAAAAATAGTTACATATAATAAACCAATTAAATGTAAAACCAGACCAGATTTTTTTTTCCTCAAGTTTAATTGTTAGAGAAAAATGTACAGAAACCATCACGTCCGTTACACATTTTTCAAGGGTCTTTTTTTTTTTTTTTTAACGATTCCTTTTTAAATCAAGTGAAATACTGATGTTGTGTTAAATCTTGTGGGATTTCATCTGCCGCCTTTTCAGACTGATGACATTTTATTTTCTTTTGTGAATCTTTCCTTTTGATTTTATCCACACTATCTCTTCAATGTGTCTATGTTTTAAAAAAAATTCTAATCTATGATAGTAATTTTAGTTTTTGAGTTAAAACCTTTTAAAGTCCAGATACTTTAATTGATACTTTACTGTGAACACACTCATGTGTGTATTTGATAATAAAGTTGGACTTTTGCTATAAAAAGTTCCTTATGAACTTTTTTCATTATTAACTAGTTTGGGGACCCCTGCGCTATAGGAAGCAGCAGAATAGGGCTCTGTGGTCACAAGAAGGTCAAAAACAAAATATATATGGTACAATGCATTACACTTACTGGTTAACATTACACTTAGTCCAATGCTTATCATTCATTCATTCAAATTAAATGAAAACGATTCTAAATGAATCCATTGCTCTGAAAAAACCTACAAAAGCCAACATTACTCAGTCCACTTTCTTGAAATTATCTAATGACACCAGGCATTTTGAGTTCTATTTTTGTATTTAAATGGAAAACATCCGGTTCAATAATTGCTGTACATCTTTTGTTGTTATTACTTGACACTTCCGGGCCCTGTGAACAGAACCAGACCTGGATATGTGTCATTACTCACAAACTTTTGCCCTAAACAGCCGTACATGTTGTTGCATAAAGAGACATGAACGTGTGTTGTCTGAATCAGGTATGAAAAGTTGTTGTGTCTCGAGGAAAAGTGCAGACCTTTCTTTGTATTTCACAGTTTTTGTCTTAATGACCCGGTGGTGTCTGGGTTGGGAGAGTCTGGAGGGTCCTTCTCTGATGGCGGCCTCCTGGACAAATCCGAACACGCCTCTGTCCTAATGAAGAGAAAGGCCGCGTTGGCTTCAGCCGAGTGAGCGGTAAATAATGTGGCGTGTGCACCGCTCCACAGTGGATCATTAATTTCAGAGCATGCAGAAGCGGTCAGTGCTGGTGGTGACTGATTACGCCTTCTACAGCGGCAGCGGCGGGGCAGGTGTGAGGTGTGCTGACCGCTAACGCACAGCTGCATCACATGGTTCTGAGTCCTGGTGATCTCGTACAGGACGAATCTGGTCACAGACAAAATATACTTTAAATTCTATTCGATTTTTATTTTGTATAGCCGTAAATCGCAACCACAGCCATCCCAGAGAACGTTATACAGAGATCAAAGAGTCAAAAAGTTCAAAACACAGAAAATGCAATAATAGCAAAACATCTCAGAGGCATTGGGCCATAGGAAGCGGGACGACTACTGTCTATAAATGTTGATAATGGCCATAAATGTTCTGGAACACCACTGTCCTGCCAAGGCAAGGGACAGTGGGAAAATTGTGAGAAACTTTGGGGAGGCCCACGTTAAAAGAGGGATCCACTCCCACGGAAGGACATGTTGTAGATCCAGAACCAAGGCTGATCCAGGACTGAAGTTGTAGTTCCAGGATTGAGACAGTAGATCCAGGACTGAAGTTGCAGATCCAGGACTAAGGCTGTAGAACTAGGACTGAGGCTGTAGATCGAGGACTGAGGCTGTAGACCCAGGACTTGGGCTGTGGATCCAGGACTGAAGTTGCAGGTCCAGGACCGAGGCTCTAGATCCAGGACTGAGTTTGTACATGCAGTCTTGTATGTACAAATAGGCTTCCAGATTGGGAAGCGAGTGCAGCCCACGAGCCCGGGACGTGGGAGACCGATCCACAGGCTCCGATGAAAGAGGCCGGCTTTATCTTCACAGAAACACAAACCCAGAGCATAAGCACAACACCAGTCCCCTTTAACTGTCAGGGCCGTCTGTCTCAAACCTCCAATCTAAAGACCTGGCTTGTTCCTACACATCCTGGAAAACTCACCAGTAGTCCCTGAACATGTCTCGGGATGAAGCCGGTGTGGTAAGTGTTATATTTTAGAGGCGCGGTGGTAAATCTGTTCCCGTGGCTCTGATTTTACGGCGCTCGTATAATGGCTTTAAGACTTGAGTATCTCCTCTCAACATCCTGTGACCGCTGCAGTCCTCTCACAGATGGCATTTTCAGTCCAGGTCCCAAGTATTACACATTTTTCACTGGAAACTCAGGCCATATATCAAAAGTATGAAACCAGGCTCTTCAGCACTTTTTCATCGGTGGAATTCTCTTTACTGCTGTGAATTCTTAACCACCTCGTTGTAACAGGCAAATGTGTTTCTCAAATCAAGGACTACTGTTGGGTTGATTAGAATTATACCTCATGAATTTTCTCATGGGGAATGGTGTTTACTGCACATGAAGAGGTCGGTGCTGCTTAGATTGACGCATGTGACGCAGTGATGCCGAGGGACCCCGAGAATCAACGCAGCAGCAGCCAATTAGAGAGAGGGACAGGAGCCGGGCCGCCTCCCACCGCCTGACCAGGTAGGGGTAAAAAATATCCTGTGATGCTGCTGCTTCTGCACACACACGTACACATAGATACACACGCATGCATACACACACACGCATGCATACACACACACATACACATAGACATGCACACACACACATACATATACCTACACACATACACGTAGACATACACACACCTACACATATAGTATGTAATAATAATGCATCGGTTTTATAAAGCACTTTTCTGGACACTGAAAAAGGCTTCACATGTCATTATTCATTCACTTCATACACAGTGATATTAAATTACTTCTGTGGCCACAGCTGCCCTGGGGCACACTGACAGAAGCGAGGCAACCAATCTGTGTCATCAGCCCCTCCGACCACCAACAACCTCTCACACACATCAGACTCATTCTAGGCAATGTGGGAGAAGAGTCTTGGCAAAGGACACGACGACAGTTCGGCACTTTACAGCTGCAACCACCCCACTGTGGCTGGTGTTCACAGAGGTCTCCCATCATAGTAATAATCAGGCCGTGCCCTGTTTAGCTTCAGAGGTCTGACAGGATCTGGCTTTCACAAGCGGGTGGTACCCATAGACTGTATGTGGTACCATAACACACGCAGACACACGCTGGAAACGGCAACAAGAGTCTCTGAAACAGTTGTTTGTGCTTTACAATTGTTATTTTTCTTGGTTTTTTCTGCCTGAGATGTTGCTGCAGTTCAGTGTTCATGGTTTTACACTGGTCCAGACCAGAGCAGAGAGGATTCATGGTCCGAACCAAGCGGATCAGGTGAAAATCCACCGAAGGAATGCTAACTTTCTGAAAAATGCTATTACTTTGGACTAGAGCAGAGAAAATGGTCCGAACCAAGAGGCTGCTCCATCTTTTGACCTGTCCTGCTCCACTCAGAGGCTACTCTGGGTGGAAAAACAGGGATTTGATATTTTTAGCTTTCTTTTTAATGTTCTGTGATCATTTATGATTTTAATGCTTTCTTATTTTGTTCAGCACTTTGAATTGCCTTGTGTATGAATTGTGCTATACAAATAAACTTGCCTTGCCTTGCCTACTCCACCTCTGCTGCTGTGACCTGAAGTTCTGTTGCTCTAGCTTTTTAGAATGATCAATTTCTTTGTTTTGTTTGTTTGGATGGATGTGTTTTTTCTGCTACTGGACACCTGAATTTCTTCCACGGGGATCAATAAAGTTTATCTATCTATCTTTCTTATTGATCAGAACTGTCATCATGGACGTGGGTCTATTGAACTTTTTACTTAAAATAACAGTGAAAGAAAGCTGCGTGAAGCTCCTCTGTGTGGTTTTTTTGCAATGCCCGTCCAAACTAATAGGATGTAATAGCTTCCTGTCCTACGGGCCCTTGCCACGCCCCCTTTTGGTCACGTGGTTGTAACCCATCAATATACAGTCTATGGCCTGAATCAGCCCGGGCCGTGATGACGTTCGCTCCGTGGAGAAAAGTGGAGGAGCGTAATGAGGCCCCTGCTGCTCTCACTACTGCTGCGTAATGATGAACTCAGTGTCTGTCAAACGCCAATTAAGCTGAACGTGCAGATCGAGGCCGTCTTTTACAGTTTGTAGAGTTTATAGACACAGGCCGCAGCAGGAGGGGCTTATCACAGAGCGATGGATTACAACAGAGCAGAATGTCAAACTTATATCACTGCTGACGTGTGGGATACTTCACTTACAGTAACAGGATGTGTGGAACAGTGGTGAGTAGTGGCAGAGTGGTTTACAAACAACTGCTGTGGGCCTCGAGTCTCAGTGAAATGAATGTGATGGGAAATGTCAGTATGAAATTACACAATAGCACAAAAATAATCCATCCATCCCTTTTTTGACGACACAGCCTTGATCTTTTCAATGAAACATTGAAGTGCTTTTGTTACTGTTGCATTGGAATTACAGAGCACAGGTTGAATTAGGGGATTGCAGTGAAACTAAAGCAAAGTGCGAGTGCAAGCGGTGTAACTATTCCATCACATTTGAAATTATAATTATTAAAAATAAGGTCTGACAAGATCTGGCTTTAGCATGCAAGTATTAATACAATTTATTCAGCTTGAGAACATTTTCAAGATATGTATACTTTAAAAGTTGAGTGTGCATTAAGTACCTTCATCTCTGGAGGCAACCGCTGTCACCCTCGACACCTGCCAAGTCTCTCCATGACCTCGTACTAAAGTACATCACTGTGATAGTACTGTTATATGAACCAACTCGAACTTTGAGGAGCACAGGGACTGGCTTCCTGCTTGGACTCTGAGGAGCACAGGGACTGGCCTCCTGCTTGGACTCTGAGGAGCACAGGGACTGGCCTCCTGCTTGGACTCTGAGGAGCACAGGAACTGGCCTCCTGCTGGGACTCTGAGGAGCACAGGAACTGGCCTCCTGCTTGGACTCTGAGGAGCACAGGGACTGGCCTCCTGCTGGGACTCTGAGGAGCACAGGGACTGGCCTCCTGCTGGGACTCTGAAGAGCACAGGGACTGGCCTCCTGCTGGGACTCTGAAGAGCACAGGGACTGGCCTCCTGCTGGGACTCTGAAGAGCACAGGGACTGGCCTCCTGCTGAGACTCTGGTTAAACTATGTTGAATTTAGCTGATGATAGTTGATAACTATTTCTATTTTCTACTAGACTTTCAACCTTCATTTCAATACAAGCTTTAGCCCTAGTTCTCTTACGCTGCACTCTTTTAATATGAAACTCGTATATTTTAATGTATTTATATTTCGTTATTGATCGAGCAGACATCTTGCAGTCTCTGGACTCACAGGTACATTTGCAGCTTACCTTACGTTTATGCATGCAGGTGAAAGTCCACAGTCATACTCCTTGTGGCTAGCTCCCCTGGTCCCCCCCCCTCAACTCTCCTCTACGCTGCAGAAATCTTTCACACACGCTTGAGCGGTTCTCGTGGTAGCGCGTATCGACCGGCGCGCCCCAGCTCCATACGCGCCATCGATCGCCTATTGATGCCTGTGTTTCTTCTAGTGTAATGATGCTATGGGCCTGCATCCTGTCAGCTTCACGGAGGAGCTCAGCTAAAAGGGCAAATGCAAACTGCTGCTGTGTGCATGTATTCAACAGGACAAAGTCATTCTTCTTTAACGACCGTGAGAGATGACTTGAAGACTTTATTATGTGTTTAAAAAGACAAGAGAAATGGATTAGAACTGGCCCTTTAAAGCTGTAGAGTATCCTCGGAACCATGGAGAAATAATTGTGTAATAACATCCATGTTACTCGTTCCTCTCTCTTCAAACATAGACTGTGTACAGATGGACAATGCTAATCCGCTAGCTCGATGAAGCCCAGTAGGGAAGTGCTCATGGATGAAGTTTTGCTCCGGTTCCTATTGCTTTACGCTGAAAAGTAAAATCCTCTAGCTCAGTAACTATTTGTGTCCCACTCTCCACTTTGGTCTTAAAAATACAGTTATGAACTCAGATCATAATAATAACAATAATAAATTTTATTTATAATATATCTTGACTTGATCAATCAGATGCCTTCACAGGGAAACTCCAGCTTACACCTTAGCAACTGTCTTAGCAACATGTCCGCCCTGGTTACAGCACCATTTTGGGCTTAGAAAATCTGTGGTTTAGTGCTTCATAGGATCCTAGTGTTTACATTGCCTCTGTTAATCCAGATAGAAGCCATATAAGGCTTGACCAATCAGATGCCTTCGTGGGTCAGAGAAATACACTGCAAAAAGTGATGAAAAGTAAGTCAAAAATGTCTAAAATTTGGCAAAATATATCTTAATTTGAGCATATTTTGACTGCCTTAAAATAAGATTTGCCAATGGGACAAGCAGAATTATCGTGTTTTGAAAAGACACAAGAAATGTCTACCGTGAAATGAAATAAGACCAAATGACTTCTTCACATCGGTAAATTTAGTTTTAAGACAGAATGTACTCAATTTTTGATAAAATCCACTGGATTCAAGCAATTCTTCTTTTCATTAAACTGGCCTGTAGGGGGCGAATGAGCAGAGGTGGGACAACTCAGTTTTGCTCCCATTGAAAAACTCTCCTCCTGTGCGGTGTACGGTTGTTGGAACAGTCTTAATCGGGGACACTCAATTCTAAGGGAGTACTACAAAAAGAGTCTTCAATTTGAGCATTTTTGGAAAGAAAAACAGAAGAAATGTATGTGTTTCATTGGGGTGGCCTGCAGGGGGCGCTTATCTGGGAAAGCCTTGATCCACCTCGCCCGCCTCATTCGAGCGATTTTTTCAAAGTGTCCTCCTTTATATGAGACCACAGTTGGAACACGGAAGAAACTCTGGTCTTTCTCTCTATTTGTGCGGTTGCTACAAGCGTACACCGCACAAACAGCTGGCATTTTGACAGCGCTTCTTCTTCTACTATATCTCCGTGTATAAACCCGGCAGACTGCACCGCCAGGATACGTCACGTTCTGTCCTACATTTGTTATTCACACCACTGCCCTGACGTCATACAGTATGAAACCCAAGAATTACCTAATATTTTATGATTTTTTTGGCAGTGTATCCACTATACCGGGTTGGTTGGCACTCTCGCCGCTGGTAGTTTTGCTCGCAGACAATAAAAGAAGGCAATTTTGTGAAACAGTCCTCCTTTATTATAAATAGATCTTTTGTATAAAAAACTGGCATGCTTCATTTGGAACCATTTCACAACCGAAAAAAGCGGACCACGAGAAGAGTCAGCCAAACACAGCGGGCTCGTCTCAAATGCAGGTCGACGAAACGGACGACATGAGACAAGAAAGATTCACGATCACAACGTTAGCTACGAGTAAATTCATGACACACACACGTCTTTTTTTTGTTTAAATATCAAAATCGCCGTAGTTCCTAGTTTCAAGTCTTCTCAGCGTTTGGATCCTTCGTTGATTTGCGCGGTGCAGTCTGTAAACATCAAGACGTCTTCAACGTGTGATCGGAGCCACTGTCGGACGATTTCAGTGTTTTTTTTTTTTTACTATCCCATAGACATTGGTCCGGATGGTGCTTTCAGATGTTGTGGTTGGCGTAGCTCACGTAGGTCATCTTAGGCGGAGGCACTGCAAGAAAACAAAACAAAAAGTACTACGAAATTAGTCATTATCATGGAATTTGTCAAGTGTCAAGTGTATTTGCCCCAATCAAGTGTGATCTCATGGCGACATAACGGCCGGTATATGGAGCTGGGATTGACTACACAGCAAATAATGATCAAATATGAGGTAATAATTGGTTGAAATTAGTGGTTATTATCTTATTTTGAGTACATTGTACGTATTTAAACCATAGACTGTATATATTAACGGACGTAGTTACGCCTCTCTCCGCCGTTCTTACTAATGGGCCAAATATTGAGCTTTCAAGTAAGAAGATGCTATATGTTAGCATTGGCTAATTCTTATTCCGGGTCCACCCCCATCGGCCCGGGGTGGTACTGCAGCATGTCAGTGCACGACATTTTAGCCACTTTTGAGCCAGAACCCGCCCCCACTGATTCAAACAAGATTTGCCAATGAGACGAAGCCTTTTAGTTTTATTCAAAGAACTGTTGCTTTATTATTTTGTCATTCCAAGGGAGACATTTCTTGTATCTTTTAAAAACAAGATAATTTTGTTTTGTCTCATTGGCAATTTTTTTTAAGGCAGTCAGAGTGTGTCCAAATTTTTGCTATTTGTGACTTATATTTCATCACTTTTTGCAGTGTATTTAGGGGTCTCTTGATCTGTAGAAGAAGGTCTGCTGCTAAGGTCTTCTCTCTCTCTCCACCTTGTCTCCTTCATGTCTCCTTAGGTGGAAGTATGATTTATTTTGTGTGTATTGTGTGACTATGTTTAGTGTCTGTAAATGTCCTCTTTCATATCTATCTGGTTTGGGCTTCGCATATGAAGCAAAAACTATATTTTTGGTTGTAACATTAAGCAGTTGGGCAATGGTTTTGTTAAGTCTCTGAGATGACTTCTGTTGTGACCTAGGGCTATACAAAGAATAAATTGTATTGTATTGTATTGTATCTTTTTAAAAAGATCAGTTTTATTTTTATTCTTGGTGCTACTGGACACCTGAATTTCTCCGACGGGGATCAATAAAGTATCTATATATGTATCTCTACATAGGGATCTTTCCTTGCCTCAAAAAATATCATAGGGAAAAAAGTATTTGTGTGGTGTCCAGATAATTCCAAGTAAAATAATGCAAAGGAGGCTAAGGGTCTCATGGATCTGGGTAACCTATTCAGATGGAGCCTTGTAGAGCAATGATCTTCTTCCGACTTCTTTATGGTTTCTTGGTTAATACTGTCCAACTGGGTACAGTCTTTAGATAATACTTGAAAACCATGTAATACACTTGCATAGATCCCTCGGGATGGCATCGTGCCGAAACACTGCTGTTACTTCACCCTTCTACTGTCTTTGAGATGCAGAGACTAAATTTCAAAACAGTGCCATCTTTTCGCTTAAATTTTTTGTCTATTCAAGAAAGTTCTCATAATATTTTCTAACCTCGCTGTAAAACGTGGTCGTCATTTCAGTACTTTTCCAGCTTTGACAGCCGGGGAGTTGCTTTGTCAGCGTCATTTCGATATATATTTTCTTCAGTTCTACAATCTGAAAACCTTCATGTGTTTAGCGAGGTTTCTCTCCCTGTTCCGACGTTGTGGGCAGTTTCACATGTCCGACAGCAGCAGCCGCTCCAGCCGTGCAGAAAATGTGACGCGCTTCAGGGATCCGCAGCCGCCTTTGAACCCACACAAACTCCTAAAGTGCTTTCATCACTCTGGGGATGAGCGCCGCTTCACAGCCGTCGGCGTGCAACCCGCCGGGATCCAAAATGGCTTTCAGCTCCCAAATACACCTGCAAGGAATGACGTAAAGGAGCAACAAAGGCGGGACTGTGCGGGTTTTGATGTAATGGCCGAGGCATGGGCGAGATACGAGACCAGGGAGAGATAACAGCGAGACCAGAGAAAACAGAAAAAACAGAAAGAGACACCAGAGAAACTAGAGACTAGAGAGAGATGAGATCTGCTTGTTCCATTGACGTATCATGATCACACCTGCATGCAAAAGCCAGATCCTGACAGACCTATTAAGCTAAGCAGGGCACGTCCTGGTTAGTACTGTGATGGGAGACCTCTGGGAATACCAGGTGCCACAGTGGTGTTGTTGTGTTCTTATGCAAGACACTTAACTCACTTTGCCTAGAAAGAGCCTGGTGTGTGCATGTGAATGGTTGGTGGTGGTCAGAGGGACTAATGGCACATACTGGTTGCGTCACTTCTGTCAGTGTGCCCCAGGGCAGCTGTGGCTACAGTAGTAGTTTTCGCCCCGTGTATGGAGTGAATGAGTAATAACATGTGAATTGTCTTTGAGTGTCCAGAAAAGCGCTAAATAAAACAGATGCATTATTATTATGTTTTAAATTATTATTAATGAATGTTCTTTTAGTGATAGAAGGGAAGTGTTTTAGATCCAGGGACTAGTGACATGGTTTTTATTACAGGGTTCTATCTTTGTGTCTGATCCTGGCCTGTGTCTCTGTATTAGTGTAAATGGTGTCTCATAAACCCATGTGGGCCGGGCATCCTTGTATTCAAGACACTATAATAAAAAAATATCTATCTATGTTGTTGTCTGGAAGTTCCGTACCCCAGCTTTAATGTTGCCTTAATCAAGTATATGCACTCTGATTTGAATTAGATTTTGGAGCAAAAATTAGGATTTTTTTTAAGTACCTGGAGTGAAAGATGAGTCAGGAGTTTTCAGTGCATGCATCTATGAGTGTCTGACAAGGATCTCCGAATCTGTTGGTCCCAGAGACAGAAACAATTATGAAGACCAAAAATGTACAGTATGTAAGCAGCGCAATAACACAAGCCGTCAAATTGACTTCTCTGGTGTCTACTCTACTGTTGAGCAGGGAAGTGTTGTGCTGCAGACTGATTCAAGCTTACAAGTATAGCCACGGTTAATAATGAAAGTGTGCAGTACATATATTTCAAGTGAAGAAATGCACTTTCATATTTTCAGCTAATTAAGCAGAAAAGTTATTACCAACATTGGGCACAGAGCAGACTTTAATCCCGTACAATGGCTCTGTTTGTGGCAGCAGATCTGTGTGGGTGTTTATGGTGACAACAAAGTCCAGTTAGGAACACGGAACTGCGTCTGCTGCCAGGAACACACAGCAGCTGAGCCGGAGGAGCGGGGACACACGGGGAAAAGGCTCCTGTTGTGTTTGTTTTAATATTACATGTGAAAATTCTCAGTTTTGTCTCTGCTGCTGGTGTTTTACCTTGTCATTTACACAAAGCTGTTGTAAGCGCAATTCATGCAGGTTTGAGTTATGTATATCCTCACATACCTGCGCCGCCGTTGCTCTCTCCTCAGTCCTCTGACCACCACACCAAGTCCTTCCCCATGTGACCTGAAGGGCTCTTGCTTATTATTACTATTGTTAGCTTTTTAGAATGATACATTTTATCTTTTATTTTTGCTGCTACTGGGCACTTGAGATTCATTACGAGGGATCAATAAAGTATCTATCTATCTATGTTTTACTTTACTTTTTTGGCTACGCGTATCAAATGGTTTTCAGCTCTATCTTTACCATAACTTCATCTCAAGGGGCTATTCCTGTTACTGATAATAGTAAAGAAACTGTGAATAAATATATAAATATGAACCATGCTTTTAATAAAGAGCCACGAGGTCATAGATATTTAATAAAGAGTAAATACATTTTAATTTTGCAAACATATATTTACCAACACACATACACATACAGTACACACACATATACTACATACATACAATACAATACAATACAATACAATTTATTCTTGTATAGCCCTAGGTCACAACAGAAGTCATTTCAGAGGACTTAACAAAACCATTGAAATCACCAACACAGGTCAGAGAATCAACAGTTAAAACACATGAAGAATATAAAGCACACACAGAAGAAAATGTCCATACATGTTGTAGAATGCTAAAGTGTCCTGATCATCACCAATCCTTTCTGTTGGACACTAACTGTCCAACAAGACCCTCCTGCATCGACAAGGAAAAACTCTTAAAAAACCCAGTGGGAAAAAGTGAGAAACCTTGGGGAGCACAAGGGAAACCCACAGGGAGGGAGACCCATTTGAGAAAGGGATCCGCTCCTCCGGACGGACAGGCTGATGATCCAGGACCTAAGCTAGCTACAGAACGTGGACCAGTGGCCGCTGAACGTGGACAGGTCCGGTGCAGGACTGAAGCACTCCCAGGCGGGTCGGGCGGGGCAGTCCGCAGGTGTAGATGGAGGAGGCCAGGCTCAGAGATCCCGTCATCGTACCATGAAACAGACAATGGGACAACGGGTGAATAGCAATGAACAAACTACAGTCAGAATCCTAAAAGTGCTAAACAGATAAAGTAGATAAAGTAGGAAGGGGGAGAGGATAGTGCTCAAGTTACCATACTTCTCCCAGCAAACTGACTCCCTATGCAGCTTGACTGACAGTCTGAGGAGTTTAGCCTTCCCTGAGTCTTACCTTCCTAACCATATGCTAAACTTAAGGAGGACTGTTTTAAACCTAGCCTTGAATAAAGAGATTCATGGATTGCACACCAGGTGTGCAAACCGATCCAAGCAAACCCAATTATATATTATATCATATATATCACATATACCATACATACCATATATATCATATATAATACACAACATAACATACAGCATAATATATAACATAATATACAACATAACACAATACATTATTGTATAATATATAACATAATACATAACATAATACAGCATATATATATAATATATACACCATATATTACATGCAGTAACTTCATGCTAACCCTAACCACACATTCGTACACGCTACAAACAGTATGTGGCACTAGCTGCAGGTGAAAGCCATATTGCATTAGGATCAAGGCCTGGTTAGTTCTGTGATGGGAGACCTCTGGGAACACCGGGTGCCACAGTGGGGCGACTGCGGCTGTAAAGTGTCAAACTGCTGTTGTGTCCTTAGGCAAGACACTTCACCCACATTGCCTAGAAAGACCCTGGGGTGTGCCTAAATGGTTGGTGTTGGTGGGAAGGGCTGATGGCACATGGTGGTTGCCTCACTTTTGTCAGTTTTCCCAGGGCAGCTGTGGCTCTGGCAGTTTATCACCAACGTGTATTGAGTGAAAGAATAATTAAATCAATCCATAAATTTTTTTTATAGACCCCTTTACAACACTCAAGGCGACCAAAGTGCTTTACAATAAAATCATGTAAAATCCATTCAAACATGTATGCATTAAAACAATAAAACAGTTGAAAAGCATAAAAAAGTGTCTTTGAAAATCTAAAAAAGCACTATTTTAAACCAGTACATCAGAATAAATCAAATGTAAATATGCCTGATTATAGCTACCGAGCTAGTTTTCATCCGTAGTCCCTATAGGCATGAAAATACATAGGAAACGACAACATACAATACAATACAAAATAACACAATACAATACAGACAGCACAGGGACAAGTTAAGAGTCTAGTGGTCACATGACTGGTTCATTTTCAGCTGTGTGATGCATACACCGCAAACAAACACTCTTCTTACAGAAATTGTTTGTGCATCTACTTCTGTGCAGACCCAAACTCAGACAAAGACCAAAGCCGCCCTCTTCGGCAGCAGTTCTTGACATGAACTTGACGAGCGGAGCGTTCCAATCAGCCTCTTTTCTTCAGCCTGTTATTACTGCAGTTGTTAATTATTCGGTCGGAGCTTCGCCGGCGGTGTGACCTGAGTAAACCTAAATTAAAAATCCAATCCCGCGTACTTGCTCGCTGGTCCGCCACAGAGCTATCATTATCCTGGAAAGAAGGGGGCGGGGACAGGGGACAGGTGAAAACATAACATTTGACCTGAGCACTCGAGAAATACACAATAACTACTAAGATGGCTCAATCAAAGCTGGAATGTATCCTTCGTTCATAAGCCTCTACTCTACTCTGCTCTACTCGACTCTATCTCTACTACTCTATTCTAGATTATGAAGATCCATCTGGTCTTTGTAGTAGAATTAAGTATTAGGTTCTTCTATACCAGACAGAAGGTACTAATTGGCTCTACTCCAATTGGCCCTCCTCCACCTGGTTGTTTTTCCATTACGCTTTAGTATCTAGTTTTCTATCCCAGCAACCTACCCACATCAAACCAGTGTCTATGGAAATTCCTTGGTAGCCATGGCTCCCAGCAGCTCTCTGGCCAATCTACAGTATAGTCCTGTTTCCACCGGCTTTATATCAATCAATCAATCAATCAATCTTTATTTATAGGGCGCTTTTCCTGCACAGGGCAACACAAAGCGCCTCACAGTCCACACCACACAATGCACAAATCATCACCATTAAAATACAATTAAAAACACATATGTAATTAAAAAGCATTAAAATCACATAAGTAATTTAAAAACATAAGAATCACACAAGGTAATTAAAAACAATAAAATAGTTAAAAACACAAAAAGTTACAACAATAAATAAACTGTAGAACGAGGACTGAGGCTGTAGACCCAGGACTCAGACTGTAGAACGAGGACTGAGGCTGTAGATCCAGGACTCAGACTGTAGAACGAGGACTGAGGCTGTAGATCCAGGACTCAGACTGTAGAACGAGGACTGAGGCTGTAGACCCAGGACTCAGACTGTAGAACGAGGACTGAGGCTGTAGACCCAGGACTCAGACTGTAGAACGAGGACTGAGGCTGTAGACCCAGGACTCAGACTGTAGAACGAGGACTGAGGCTGTAGACCCAGGACTCAGACTGTAGAACGAGGACTGAGGCTGTAGACCCAGGACTCAGACTGTAGAACGAGGACTGAGGCTGTAGACCCAGGACTCAGACTGTAGAACGAGGACTGAGGCTGTAGATCCAGGACTCAGACTGTAGAACGAGGACTGAGGCTGTAGATCCAGGACTCAGACTGTAGAACGAGGACTGAGGCTGTAGACCCAGGACTCAGACTGTAGAACGAGGACTGAGGCTGTAGACCCAGGACTCAGACTGTAGAACGAGGACTGAGGCTGTAGACCCAGGACTCAGACTGTAGAACGAGGACTGAGGCTGTAGATCCAGGACTCAGACTGTAGAACGAGGACTGAGGCTGTAGACCCAGGACTCAGACTGTAGAACGAGGACTGAGGCTGTAGACCCAGGACTCAGACTGTAGAACGAGGACTGAGGCTGTAGATCCAGGACTCAGACTGTAGAACGAGGACTGAGGCTGTAGATCCAGGACTCAGACTGTAGAACGAGGACTGAGGCTGTAGATCCAGGACTCAGACTGTAGAACGAGGACTGAGGCTGTAGACCCAGGACTCAGACTGTAGAACGAGGACTGAGGCTGTAGATCCAGGACTCAGACTGTAGAACGAGGACTGAGGCTGTAGATCCAGGACCAGCTGTAGACAGGACTGAGGCTGTAGATCCAGGACTGAGGCTGTAGATCCAGGACTCAGACTGTAGATCCAGGACTCAGGCTGTAGATCCAGGACTCAGCTGTAGATCCAGGACACAGGCTGTAGATCCAGGACTCAGGTGTAGATCCAGGACTCAGGCTGTAGATCCAGGACTCAGGCTGTAGATCCAGGACTCAGGCTGTAGATCCAGGACTCAGCTGTAGATCCCAGGACTCAGGCTGTAGATCCAGGACTCAGGCTGTAGATTCCAGGACTCAGGCTGTAGATCCAGGACTCAGGCTGTAGATCCAGGACTCAGGCTGTAGATCCAGGACTCAGCTGTAGATACCAGGACTTCAGGCTGTAGATCCAGACTCAGGCTTGTAGATTCCAGGACTCAGGCTGTAGATCCAGGACTCAGGCTGTAGATCCAGGACTCAGGCTGTAAATCCAGGACTCAGGCTGTAGATCCAGGACTCAGGCTGTAGATCCAGGACTCAGGCTGTAGATCCAGGACTCAGGCTGTAGATCCAGGACTCAGGCTGTAGATCCAGGACTCTAGGCTGTAGATCCAGGACTCAGCTGTAGATCCAGGACTCAGGCTGTAGATCCAGGACTCAGCTGTAGATTCCAGGACTCAGGCTGTAGATCCAGGACGCAGGCTGTAGATCCAGGACTCAGGCTGTAAGATCCAGGACTCAGGCTGTAGATCCAGGACTCAGGCTGTAGATCCAGGACTCAGGACTGTAGATCCAGGACTCAGGCTGTAGATCCAGGACTCAGGCTGTAGATCCACAGGACTCAGGCTGGTAGATCCAGGACTCAGGCTGTAGATCCAGGACTCAGGCTGTAGATCCAGGACTCAGCTGTAGAGCTCCTGGACTCAGGCTGTAGATCCAGGACTCAGACTGTAGATCCAGGACTCAGGCTGTAGATCCAGGACTCAGGCTGTAGATCAGGACTCAGGCTGTAGATCCAGGACTCAGGCTGTAGATCCAGGACTCAGGCTGTAGATCCAGGACTCAGGCTGTAGATCCAGGACTCAGGCTTGTAGATCCAGGACTCAGGCTGTAGATCCAGGACTCAGGCTGTAGATCCAGGACTCAGGCTGTAGAGCCAGGACTCAGGCTGGTAGATCCAGGACTCAGGCTGTAGATCCAGGACTCAGGCTGTAGATCCAGGACTCAGGCTGTAGAACCAGGACTCAGGCTGTAGATCCAGGACTCAGGCTGTAGATCCAGGACTCAGGCTGTTGATCCAGAACTCAGGCTGTTGATCCAGAACTCAGGCTGTAGATCCAGGACTCAGGCTGTAGATCCAGGACTCAGGCTGTAGATCCAGGACTCAGGCTGTAGAACCAGAACTCAGGCTGTAGATCCAGGACTCCAGGCTGTAGATCCAGGACTCAGGCTGTAGATCCAGGACTCAGGCTGTAGATCCAGGACTCAGGCTGTAGATCCAGGACTCAGGCTGTAGATCCAGGACTCAGGCCTGTAGATCCAGGATCAGGCTGTAGATCCAGGACTCAGGCTGTAGATCCAGGACTCAGGCTGTAGATCCAGGACTCAGGCTGTAGATCCAGGACTCAGGCTGTAGATCCAGGACTCAGGCTGTAGATCCAGGACTCAGGCTGTAGATCCAGGACTCAGGCTGTAGATCCAGGACTCAGGCTGTAGATCCAGGGACTTCAGGCTGTAGATCTCAGGCTGTAGATCCAGGACTGAGGCTGTAGATCCAGGACTCAGAATGTAGATCCAGGACTGAGGCCTGTAGATCCAGGACTCAGGCTGCATATTCAGGACTCAGGCTGTAGATTCCAGGACTCAGGCTGTAGATCCAGGACTCACTCAGGCTGTAGATCCAGGACTCAGGCTGTAGATCCAGGACTCAGGCTGTAGATCCAGGACTCAGGCTGTAGATCCAGGACTCAGGCTGTAGATCCAGGACTCAGGCTGTAGATCCAGGACTCAGGCTGTAGATCCAGGACTCAGGCTGTAGATCCAGGACTCAGGCTGTAGATCCAGGACTCAGGCTGTAGATCCAGGACTCAGGCTGTAGATCCAGGACTCAGGCTGGTAGATCCAGGACTCAGGCTGTAGATCCAGGACTCAGGCTGTAGATCCAGGACTCAGGCTGTAGATCCAGGACTCAGGCTGTAGATCCAGGACTCAGGCTGTAGATCCAGGACTTCAGGCTGTAGATCCAGGACTCAGGCTGTAGATCCAGGACTCAGGCTGTAGATCCAGGACTCAGGCTGTGTAGATCCAGGACTCAGGCTGTAGATCCAGGACTCAGGCTGTAGATCCAGGACTCAGGCTGTAGATCCAGGACTCAGGCTGTAGATCCAGGACTCAGGCTGTAGATCCAGGACTCAGGCTGTAGATCCAGGACTCAGGCTGTAGATCCAGGACTCAGGCTGTAGATCCAGGACTCAGGCTGTAGATCCAGGACTCAGGCTGTAGATCCAGGACTCAGGCTGTAGATCCAGGACTCAGGCTGTAGATCCAGGACTCAGGCTGTAGATCCAGGACTCAGGCTGTAGATCCAGGACTCAGGCTGTAGATCCAGGACTCAGGCTGTAGATCCAGGACTCAGGCTGTAGATCCAGGACTCAGGCTGTAGATCCAGGACTGAGGCTTTAGATCCAGGACTCAGAATGTAGATCCAGGACTGAGGCTGTAGATCCAGGACTCAGGCTGCATATTCAGGACTCAGGCTGCATATTCAGGACTCAGTAAAACCACATTGGAATACATTTGCAAAAGTCCCCAGTGTGCACCAGACACACTGTAGACTGTAGATCCAAGACTCTGGCTGTAGAACTGGGACTAAAGCTGCGCAATATAGGACTGAAACGCAAAAGCATAAGAAGCCGATTTTCACTTGCCTTGTACTTTGCACCATGATAAGGTGGTCTGTATCTTAGCCAGGCCCCTCGATTCTGGGCCAGAACAGAGCGTTGCAATTTCTTTTTTTTTTCAAACTTTGTTTATTTGAAGTTTTACAGAAATTGTACAGTTTCCAAACAAGTCAGATACAGTACAAGGGAGAAATGAACACTGATACAATCTCCTTAAATCACACACACAGAACAAAACAGAAAGCACTCCAACCAGCCAGCCAATTAAAAGCATGTCCAAAGTATAAAAGGGGGATGTAAAGATGTGCGGCGCCCCCACTTTAATAAAACAAAACAAGTAATGTAGAAAAAAAAGAGTAATACAAGCTAATTCGGAACAC